AAACAGATCATACGTTCATTGTCCCGGCTTTGACTAAAAAAAAAAAAAAGTAGAATCCCTACCTACCGACCCTAATTTTTTCTGGACTGTAATAGGAAACACAACATTTATTTTGTTAGGCCTTGGCTAACAATTTTCTTGAAAAGTAAAAAAATATGACCTTCATCGTACCACAAGTACATAGAAATGTGGCTGTGTTCTTTCATATTTAAAAAAAAAACAAAAAACTTCAATCATTATTGTCTCGATGTTTTGATACTCGTAGAACTGAACAGCATTATGGACCATAATTGACATAACTTCTGTTCTGTAAGAGTTTTCCTTGTACATGTAGATCTAATACAAAATCGGTTGTGAAGAATGTGCTTTTTAGTACATTACAAGCTGCTTAAGTAGATAAGGGGACATTATCTTCCTATCTGATGTACTTTGTTAATTTTTCATGGCCTATCCCTTCCTGATGATTCCCCCAGAATGCAGCTGGCTATGGTCCAGACAGCGGTCTGCGTCGCCATGGCTCCCTGTTCTCTGTCTCCTCAGCAAGTCTCTCCACCGCCTCCAGCAGCTCTTTCAAGGTCAGTGTTTGTATCCATGCAGGTTTCTGTAACCTTAAGTCACAGGAGTGGATAGGGTAGTGTTGATTTATTGAAGAAACACTTTTGTTTGTTTGACATGATTGTTATGCTGTTGTTGTGTATCAGTTATCTGGAAGAGTCAGCAGAATCACCTAGCAGAGCATTGAAGTACTACAGCCATGACTCTGTGTATATTGGCATCTCAGTCCAATTGATATAAATTGACAATAAAAATAGGTGGTTTATGATCGTGGAAATGTAAGATATAATTAATACAATTGTACTTCATAGCATTTTAGGTGGCCTTTGTGTAGAATTGAATTTTTGGTAATGTGTAAAATGCAACAGGAAGTTTACATAACATGTAGCATGACTAAGTACTGAGTCCTCCTGCCTCTGGCCCCACAGAAAGGGCGGAACCTGAAGATGAAGCTGGCTGAGATGGAGACATTCCGGGACATCCTGTGCCGCCAGGTGGACGCCCTGCAGGGCTACTTCGACGCCTGTGCCGCTCAAGTAGACCCCGAGGACAACGACACATGTTAGTATCCTCAACAAAGTCTTTAGGCAAGTTCCAGTCTGGCATTTTCTTTTCATGTGGAGAGGTGCTCCCACATGTTGCATCGGTGCCACCTAGCAACTCATTCAGGCTCTGCAACTTTGTGTGTTTCAGTGGTGGAGGATGAGGCTGATGATGAGAATGAGGATGACTATGGTACCCCTCGTAACTCTGTAGAGATCCCTAATCATCTCAAACATGACAATCACCACAATGGCAACAAAGGTAATCAACAAGGATCATGCATGCTAATCAGGAAATTGGTAATCTGTAATCCCATACAGGATCTATACAGTCAAATAATTATACAGTCTTTGGAAGTTCACCTGAAAAAAACTTTCATGAATAGAAACTTGACTCTTTTTGAAAACTCTTTTTGAAGACAGAAAGTCTATGTTAGACTAATGAAGGTTTTAAGATATTGTGTAGGTGACTGTATAGATCCCAATGGATATATTTGACATGTATAAAATTATGCTTTGATTCCCCAAAAGAAATTTGTCCTTTTATTCAAACAAAATTCAAGAAATTAGTATCTTTTCTTTTTATCTCAACTCACATCAGTTGGTATATTTTAGTTACTTTACAACCTATTTTGATTAAACATTTCACCGGTATTTTTTAAATGTCTTGAACATGCTGAAATGCTTTAAAGCAAAATATATTACATATGCATGAACTTCATGTATTCACAACACGCTGCCAAGATTACAAAAGGCAATATTTAACAGTTGAAGTGATATCTCATACACCTCATATCATATTCAGTTCACCTATGGGGTTTTTATCAATTCCACTTGCATATGTGCACAGGTGTTAGATACGAGGCTTGGCATTTATTAGGGAAGGTTAATTGCAGAAGGAATGGGGTCTTCCCTGTGTCAGTCTGAATATTCCCCAATTGGGTTGGGATAATCCTTCCATATCCCTACGCCGAACAACCATGACTCCAACAAGATTAATGCCATCAGGAAGATTAAATAGAGCAGCACCGAGGTTTAGTTTAATTAAATTATGTCTATCTCATTAAGCACATAATCAAATTCATATGGACAAAGTTGGTAAATTCTGTATTAATTGCGACTTAAATGTCAACAGAATTAAGAGAGTGTTTAGCTATTAGATTAGACGAACCG